ATTTCAATCTATAATATAAATCTATCTGGTAATGATTTCTGTGTATGATGTGAAGTAGGGGTTGGGGTTAATTGTTCCACGTGGAGGACCAATTGTCCCAGCACTTTATTGTACACACCACCCTTCCCCAGTGCCTTTCAGTGGTCCCTTTGGTGTAAATCAAGCAGGTGAGTTTCTGGACTCCCTAATCTCTATCATTGTTCTTCTTGTTTCTCCTTGTACCTCCTTCATACTGTTTTGAGGACACATATCAAGAATATACATAGAACTTGTATAGAAAAAGACAGCCAGCCAAATAAAAATGGGCTAATGAATTGGGAAAACACTCAAGCACATTCTAATTCTTTGCTCATGGAATATAATATGATTTAATATGCATTTGCATCTTCTGAGGCAGCAAAACTTACCACATGTGTGCATGTATGTATTATTACTGAGCATTACTCATTCGCCCATGTTTTCTCACTTTCTTTGTTAATGGTATGTGACCAGAGAGGCAAAAGTATAAGGATTTTGAAGGCTTGGAAGCTGAGTAATGACAGAAATGCAAATGGAAACTGTGGTGCAGGCAATGGGGCCAAGTGGCCTGGACAGGGAAGGACATGTGGATGGGATAGCACTGCCCACATGACAGGTCTTAATGCTGTTACACATTGGGTAAAGCCCAACGGGAATACACACTGGTTCTTGTGTACAGGAACCAAATGTTCAAGGCATTTAAAAAGAAAACTAGAGCTCTCCTCTTCTGGGAAGAATAGGAGACAGCTGGAAAAATGGGAAAATGGATTAAAGGCTAACAATCTACTTTCAATCTTAATGAAAGTTTCTGGAATTATGACTCAGGTACAACATTCATTGTAAACATCTTGGGAGTGCAAGAAAAGTTGTATTTCCTATTTCAGTCACTATGGTAACCATTTACTAAAGATACTGGTGATGTTTTGTCAAAAGACTGAAATATCAGGATATCATGGATGGCATATGAGCTTGAAATGGCGATTGTTTGGTTACATGTGTAGCATGCAACAGCCAGAAAATGAAAGTCATGTATGTGGAATACATGGAAGGAAAGGAGTAGGAGGTTTATTGGTCAGCTGGGGGAATCCCAACTTTAAAAAGAGTTACTGAAATTATTTCTGAAAGTATCCCAGTCAAAGCTAAAGTGTGTCTATTACTGTGATATGACATAGTTAGTAACTTTTAATGGGAAAGTGACTTTTATCATAAGACTATTAGTTTATATAAACCAAGTGTCTGGCAAGATACTGAAACAGAATCTAATGGCCCTGAGAAATGCAGTTTCTTTCACTGTAAGTGGAGGGGCATCCATCTTCCTTTCCATCTGTGAATACAAGTCCCCAAGGACTTGGGCAACACTGCATTTTCTGATGTCAGCAAACTGAGCCAAATCCCAGAGAGGCTGTTCAGGGTCCGTCGAGTTAGAATGAATGTGTTCAGGCTTGGCAGCTGGGATGCTGGGCTCCGCATCATCTCCTCTGTGCTCAGCCAAAATAGCGCTGCACTGCAAAGTGGCACATGCTACTTTTCTTGGAACAAAGGAACATGTCTAAGATACCATAGGGGCTGGGTCTGGATCCTGAACCCATTCCTCCTCCATGTGCTGTGAAGAATGCCTCTGCCTTCAGAGCCTGTTCCCACCAAACGCATGAGTGAAGGCTGTGAAAATGCCTTGTAAACTACAAAGTGCAATAAAATGGAATTTCTATATTGTGGTGTGGGTTGAATATCAGTAATTAAGGATTATGATAATAACCCAATAAGATGATGCTATTTGACTACAACAAACCCATTGGCTGTCTGTCCTTGTCTATTATTATTTCATTTGAATGCGAGTCAAATGGTTTGTGTGTTGACCTATTGGTTGATTAATTTGGCTTGAAGGATTCTTATACCAAATGCATCATTTTACACTTACTGTTTTTCACTCAGTTAATCTTAGTTCCTTCCATTGTGGTGATATGGGATCACCATTCTTTTTAATAGATGCATATTATTCTATAGCATCTGTTCCATAATCTAACTATTCGCTGTTGATTGTGAGTTCCAATTTTTTATATTTTTTACAGTTACATTCACCACTTCCTTATTTATCTTTAAGTATTCTTAGAGTATAGAAATACCACGGTGGAATATCTGGATCCAAGTATATGTGCATTTTAAATTTGAATGGATATTACCAAATTGCCCCCAAATTTCTTTAACAGGTACCACTTTTGCCAGTGTAGTGTGAGAGCAAATGTTTCTTATCCACTTGCTAACTCTATATATTAGTCATCTTGCTAATGGTCCAGTAAAAAACTTGTTACATGCTCTGGTTCCTCCTGACTTCATTTGAATGGAATTGTCAGTAGGGAGTGGGGTGCTTCTTTCTCATTTCTGGATTAGAGGGTGCACAGATCAAGGGCATCACTTTGTAGCATGGCTTTGGAAAGGCTGGCTCCCAGTTTGCCATCTGCCACTCCTAGACCAGGGGGCTTACAGCTGGAAGTCCTGCTCCTAGAGGAGGAGATCCTCCAGCTGCCTGCCCTCCTGGGGGTTTCAGGAAGTGTGGCTCCCTGACAGACACTGAGATCTTTCCAATTGTGACTTTACAAAGCAGAACTAGGAACTAGCTAAGCTAAAAAGTTCTAACCTAAAAGCAATCATTTAAAACACAAACAATTAAATAGGAAGTTATGAGTAAGTCCTTGTCATCTGCAACTAACCTGAGATTCTCCTTCACTGTGTATATTCCTTTCACAGGAATCAAATGTGGAGCCTCACCATCACCATCACCCTGCCTCTTCCTGAAGCAGCAGGAGGGTCTGTCTCAGCCTGAGCCCTGTGCCTGGCCTCTGAAGTAGGGCTAATTGTATGATAAGTGATTCCTTCTTACCATTTGTATGGCACTGTGGAGGAGAGACAAGAGGTATGGTTGGGAAGCAAGGAAGGAAGGAGACTTACTACTTGCTACTTTTCATTCCCTATTCTGGCTTAGTTCAACTGTTAAGTTTAGGTATTCAAAAGACACAGGCAGCCTGGCAGAAGGTTTGAAGATCATGGAGCTCAGCTGTTGCTTCCTTTGCAGACAGGAAATAATGCGTGGCATTTGGTGACCAGAAACAGTTGTGACTGAGGCTCTAACCCTTGTTCTAAAAGGCTGCTGACTCTGCCTGCTTTAGGAAAACCTTCTCATTCATGATAGAACCCAGTGACTTTGCTCAAGAACATACTGATTTCCTTTTTTCATAGAATCATAGGTGATATTCCTTATCATTCTTAAGAATGATGAAATGTGAAAGTATCAATTGGGCTTTTTTGAAAGTGCAAGTTGGAAAGTGGTGGAAAGAATCAGGTCCTCTAGCAATCCCTGGCATAGACACCAGCTGCCTAAACATGGACCCATCCCATCACCACGGGGACTTATTCCCTTATCTGCAAAGTGGGATGACTCTTATTTCACAGGGTGGGAAAGATCCAGTTAAATAATACAACATACCCCTGAAGTGTTTGCTGCAACATCTGGCATGAATAGGTGCTCAAATGTCAGTGAAGAATGAAATTTAGAATGCTCTGATTTGTGTTCATAAGTAATCCACTTATTTGTTCCCAAGCAGGGTGGCTCTGCTGTGGCACCCTGGTGGCCCTGAAGGGGTACACAAAGACTAGCAGGCCAAGGTGTGACTGCAGAGGATCTGAGTCCTGGCAGGCACCTTGTGGGCCTCCAGGACAGGAGGCCATCTCCCACTGCCTCCCCACACCCCTGGAGGCTGTCAGGAAACAGTTCTGTGGCTCCTGGGTCCTGAGGAGACTGAGGCTTCCTGCCAAGACCCTGGGTGCAGCACAGCAATGGCCTCAGCAAGGTGCTGCCACCTCTGGCCACGTTCACTTTAGGGTTGTCCTGTGTGGTGTGTGGGGTGAGGCCCTGGGGCTTGCCCCTTGGCTGCATCTCCTCTCTGGGAAGCTGGGGTGCACACTGAGATAGGGCACCCAGGATGAGCCTCGCAGGCCTGCCCATCATTGCCCCCAAACTGTCTGGACCTGATCGTGACTCCTGTTTGGCATTGCCATGGCTTTGCCTTTTCTTGGGTGCTCCATACAGACCAGCTGGGGAACCTTCTCTGCATGTGGTGCCAGGGACCCTGCTGAAAAAGGTGGCCTTGTTTCTATCCACAGGGGCCCAGGTCTCTTATGCCAGCAGTAATGATGGCCTACTGGGGTGGCCTGGAGGGACATGGTGACATGCCTCTGATGAGGAAAGGGACACCACTGGCCCTTCTTGTGCTCTCAGTGTGTCTTTGAATTTCTCCAAGAATGGCCACAGCCATCCAGTATCTCCTCCTGGCCCCCTGTGCCTGTAGGTCACAGTAAGATTAGCAGGCAGCCGGTGGGAGCTTCCAGGCCAGTTTTCAGACAGAGCTCTGGGTGGTCCTCACAGGGTGATCCCCGTTGGCATCCCTCCATGCAGGCTCTGACCCCACCTCCTCCACCCCAGGCTCCTGGATTGGGGCCACTGTCTGTGATGTAAGGGCAGTGCCATTAGGGTACAGAACTGAGGCACTAAGACAAGACAGTTCTGCAGCAATGAGACCCAGGAGGGAAAGTCACTTCAGCAGCGGCTTCACTTCTTTTCCCAAAGCTTTTCCTCATAAAGACCCTGCAGCTAAGGCCTACTGTAGAGTGGGCTCCTCTGAGGCCGGCCCCAAAATAAGGACTTGGGGGAGTAGATGGTTTAGAGGGTGAGCCAGGCTGCACCTCCAGGGAGGAGGGGAAGGAAAGGCCAGCCTGGGTGCTAATGAGCAGACCCCCCTGAGGGCCTCTGGGCCCATTCCCTGTGCTGAGCCCTGGGGACAGTGTGGACCACCCACCAAGAGGCCTGCTCCCCCTCCCAGGGCTGAGGAAGCTGGGGTGTCCACTGAGATAGGGCACCCAGGATGAGCCTTGCAGGCCTGCCCATCATTGCCCCTGGGCAGCTCTCAGGGGCGCTGGCTGCCTGGCACCTCTGGCCTGCCCACGGAGGCAGAGGTAGCCCTCGGGGGAGCGCAGGCCCTTGCAGCAGGGTGCCATCGCGTGGAATGGAGAGGGCTGAGGGGCCAAGGCAGGGAGCCAACAGCACTGGCTCCCACCTTCTAAATCCTAAAAGGGTTTGCCTCTTTTGGGATCAACTCAAAGTGAACCCAGGTAGACACAATGTGTCTGGAAAATTCCACAGTCTGAAAAGCCAGGACATAATCATAGTCTAGAGCAGACACTGGATTCAGAAACCCTGTCTGGTTTCTCAGGATTCTGGCTTGTCAAGAGCAACTCTAAATACAGTCTCTCATTTTAAAGAGGGTCCGGTTTCCTGTGAATAGTTTATTGAAAAAACATTTGTACGAGCTAAACGTTTGTGAGCAGCACAGAGCCTTCAAACCTCAACACAGGGACACAACCTCCTTTACAACTTTATCTTCCTGGAATGTCCCAGGTGCCATCTTCAGAGTGTTTGCAAATCTGCCTTTAATTCTGAACAACGACGAGGCAGCAAAGAAAATAGACATGCCTGGATTTGATTTGTGGAAGGGATGGAGAAAGAGGTCTGCCTAACTGCTCACCTCTTAGCTGGGCCTCCACACGCCTCGCTGGAACTGCTCTGTGGTGATCTTGGGGCACCTGGGGGCAGAGGGAAGACAGCACAGAATCCTCATGGTGCTCCATGCACCTCTGGCTCAGTTGGGCTCCACAGAAAAGACCAGTAAGTCCTTCTACATGTGCCACTGTATGGTTTGCTGACAGCTTCACCCCGTTCCCAGCTGGTTCTCACAAGAGGCAAGGGGTGCAAGTCACTTCACTGTGTTTCAGAGAAGAGGCAAGCAGGTCAGGGTTAGACAGGACCAGACCACTTGGCCCAGAAGAAGAAACTGGGCCAAAACCGTTTCATGATCATTGGCAAGCAGACACTGCCTGGCATAGAGTTGGGAAATGTCTGAAGAGCTGTTGGGCTGGGCTGCTGTTGAATCTGGGTCTGTCTACCACAGGAAGCTGATGAGTCAGTATTAGCAGGGAGAGCTTGACAGGCAGCAGAAAGCTTGCCACATGCAGGGTTGTTGGTCTGCTTGTTTCACTTACACTTACTAATTTATTCCTGTGGCAAAAGCCCCCATTCAGTGGCCTTGTTCCTCCATAGTCCACCAGACGCATCCCATTAATGTCTCACCTTCTGCTGTGCTAAATGCAGATCAGTGGACCTGCTCTAAAGTATGCACATTTCAGTAAGACTAGGGGGAGAACGTCCCCAAGATCCCGCGAGATGTCTGGCCTGGGGTGAGTATGTTTAAGATGGTCATCCTCCCCGTGGAGGGGGGTGGGCTTCCTGGCAGTCCTGCAATGGTCATACACCAGGATCGCCTCCCCTGCCTGGTCCATGGCTAGCCCTACTGGACCCCCACCACTTCCAGAATCACAGCGGGAGAATGGGTGAGTGGGGAAGGGACGTGAACTTCCACAGAGAGGAGTAGTGACTGCATACTAGTGTTGTTGTTAGACCCAGAAATTAAAACATGGCAGCGAGACTCCTAACTTGCCTTCAGTGTTTCAGCACTGCAGCAATTCCCTCCTGAACACACTGTTTCAGGACAGCTGTGTACATGAGCAGCTGCTTCAGCTGTGGGACGTTCAGGATTTTTTTCTTACTTGTTAAGGAAATCTTAGCAAACACTTCTGGTAAATCAGGCACAAATGGATCCACCTGTTCTGGGCCTTTAATCAATGCACACAGCACGCTCCCACTCATGATCTCACCTGCTCAGTAGAGTAGCTGGGATATGTCTAAGTGGTCGTTCTTAGTGGACAATCTTAGGTAACACCCAGGACAAAAGGTGTGAGCTGCACACTAGGGTTCAGCAGGTCACCTAACTCTTGGCCCATTTAGTTGTTTTAAACTTTGTATAAATTCCTGTCTGTCTTGGGCTGCCATTAGGGGCTTCTGAGGTACTGAGGTTGTAAAGGAGACCCATTGGCACATGTTTTTGCATAAACTCCATCAGCTGGCATAGGTGGAGAGGTGCCTCTTAGAGACCCTGAACTCTGTTCTCCACCTACTTTCCTCTGCTGCTGGGCTCCCAGTAGTGAGCACAGCTGACCCTCTGCCTGCGGACCTATGGAGGGGTGCAGGGGACAGGCCCTATCTGAGTGTGAAAAGCAAATGACTGTCCCCTGCATGTCTCTCCACACCTGGATACACTATATATTCTGTGACATTTTTGATGGCAGGATGAGTGCGGTGTCAGAATATCCTGGTCTCATGAAAACTCCTGTCCTCAGCTCCATGGTCCTGCAGAGGATCCCTCCTCTGCTTCAGCCTGACTGCTGCTTGCATCTCGTGGTACCTGCACCACATGGTACCAGCCCTTGGGTTGGTGGGTGCTGTACCTACTCTCAGTGTCCCAGTAGCCTAGCCTGGCATATCTCACAGAACAGGCATGAACCAATTATCGGTAAAATGAACAAAACTCCTTTATTCCAAATCATAGCGCACATGGCTGACAACTTCCAGGCAGAGACTGCTCAGTGATCGGCAGCTCCTGTGGAGGTTTATTCATGAGTTATAGGGCCTGAGCCCATCCTGTGGCCCAGGCTTCTGATCCTTGGCCAGCTCTAAGCGACCAAGAATCTGCAATCCTAGCCTGGCCACACCCAGGATGTTGTTGGGTATAGCAGGGAAATTCATAGTTTTCCCTCCGAACCTTAAATAACATTCATATGCACACCCCTACTCCGCCTGCATCATTAATACAAACTCATTTTCACAATTAATGAAGGAGCTCTTTTGTGGCAGGAAGACTCGTGGATGGTCTAAGCCAGTGCTTCTCCAACCTGAGTGGGCATCAGAAACTCCATGTAGGCTTGTGTGCACACAGGTGGGTGGGCCCCACCTCAGATCGTCTGGGGCTGCCAAGGACTTACCTTTCTAGTAAGTTCCCAAATGCTGATGCAGCTTCCGCCCCTCTTCAGAGGCCCACTGGAGCAAGCTGGTGGCATCCAGACCCCTCGAAGCTTCCGCCTTCCCCACATGCCAAATAACTTACAAGAGGCCAGTTCCTGAGTATTTCCCAGGCATGAAAAATTTCAACATCAACTAGGGGTTAAAGACTGGAATTAATATGTTTTTTTTCATGTTTCTACAGGCACAGCAGCCAATCAGGTTCTTAGAATCAGCAACTGAAGTAAAGCACAGGCCCACTACCTGTGTCCCATTTTCCCTGTCCCCCCACCCCAAAAAGACAAATAGAAGAAAGGAAAGAGAGTTTGAGAAGTAATGGAGGTGGATAGTGGGATTTTTTTTTAATATACGTTTTGTGTTTCTAGAAACAGCTGATCAAGTAACATCTTCCATAACCAAATGGAATATAAAGAAGCCATCTGCCCAATATCAGTTATCCTGGTCATTGTGCCAAGACACAGTAAGATGAGTCTAGCTTTCCAATTTTGGAAACTGCCAGAAATGCTAATTGGATTAATTTCTATTGGGAGTTGGCTAAAACTGGCCACATTCTCTCATGCCTCAGTGTAAACATCATAGCATTGCCATATAAATCTATATTCCCCAAATTAGGTTAAAATAGGTCTTTTAGGGGAGATGAAAGTTTTGTTTTTGTTTTTGCAGATTACTCTCCAAATATGTTCAGACACAAGCAGTTCAGCTTTTCTTTCTTCATATTCATCATCTGTGAAATGACAATTCTACATTTTTGGAATTGCATTAAATTTTATTGTGTTCATTAGTTACATATACAATTCAATTAGTGTTTCTTTATGGAAATTTTAATATACATAGGTTAAAGAAACAAACATTTAAAATGACATTTTAATACTTTGTGAGCAGCAACAGAAACTCAACTTGTCAAAGCACAGCCCAGGACTACCACTGAAATTCATCTATAACAGAATATGTTCCAATGCAAACATTCCATTATTCTCTCCAAGAGACTGACCCTCAAAAACTACTGTATAGAAAGTCTATAAAGAACATTACCATACATGTGAAAGAGAAGGTTAGAACTTGTGCAAAATCTGGAGAAACATCACCCTAATTTCTGACCATGATTCTGTTATCTGAATTAAAAAACATTTTCAATTCTTGGTCAATTGACTTAAGCCAGAACTGAACATTCATGTTTTCAGACACAGCTGAACTAGAACAATGTATCTACAATAACTTACTGATCAAACTGATTTCATTCAGCTATTTTCTCCTTTCCCATATGACCGGGGTGGGATGTCCCACCTTCCTCAGGGGACATGTGCTGGCCCAAGCTTTGCCATGTCTGGACCAGGGAAGGGCACTGGCCAGTCCAGACTCACATTCGTGGGGAGGTGATTGCTGAAGCTCCTGGAGATGTTTCCCTCATTTTTAAGAAGCAGTCACATGAAGGGATGGCTGTTTCTATCCTACCCAGAACACTGGGTCTTTAATGTCTGGCATTGAGACCCAGAACCCCTGGAGCCATCTTATAACTACAGGGGAGCCAGTGGGGGCAGTTTTAGCCCTCAGATGATGGATCACAGAGAGAGGGAGAGAAAACAGGTCCTTGATCCCAATGCCAGCTGTTGAGTCAACCAGCCTGGAACCCTGCCAGACCCTCAACTAGCTCTTATTTGATGCAAGAGGTTGTCTCATTGTTCATGTTTGTGAGAAAAGTCTTATTTTGTCTGCAGTGAGGGGTTCCTAGATGATACAAATGAAATTTGAAAATTTGAGATTTCATGAAAACATGTCCTGTAGCAGAACTTAATGCAACTCAGCGCTCTCTTCCTGGTGTTTAAGAACTCACCCATTCAGACGCGTGAGTCATAAGTGAGCTCTGTAGAAACCTTCCCTTGGGCCTACATACTCACAGAGCCCAGGCCTCTGCTCCATGCTTCAACTATTCCCAGGTTTAGAGATTTCATGGGGTTTCCAGAGCAAATCCACTAATCTATGAGTGCACTTTCCATGCATCAAGGCGTGAAAACAGTAAAGAAATGTGAGACAGAGGAGACAGAGCTAGAATTATATTTAGCCATGAAGAACAGATGGGTACCTCGAG